CTCCTTTTCTCTTCTTCCTCCTCCTTCTTTTTAACTATATCAAAAGTACTATTGATGATCAGTTTGGAAATTGTAGTCAATGTGAATGACAGGTTTGTACATTTCGCCTGCGCTCTATGACATGGTGACCATTCTATCGTAGATAATTTAACAGAAAACTCTGGAAAAGCCAGGTGCTGCTGGCTCCCGCCAGTCATCCCAGCTACTCAGGAGGCTGAGATCTGAGGATCGTGGTTCGAAGCCAGCGTGGGCAGGAAAGTCCTTGAGGTTCTTTTTTTTTTTTAATGGATCGTGGGGCCTGAACTCTGGGCCTGGGCGCTGTCCCTCAGCTCTTCAGCTCAAGGCTGGCGCTCTACCACTTGAGCCACAGCACCATTTCCAGCTTTTTCTGCTTATGGGGTGCTGAGGAATCGAACCCAGGGCCTCACGCATGCAAGGCAAGCACTCTACCACTGAGCCACAAGTTTCTTCCTCATGGAAACCTCTAGAAGAAGTCTTCTAGGGTGACACTCCCGTGAGCTGCAGTAGGTTTGGAGGTGGAGATGATCTCCGGGTTTCGGGGAGCTCGGGGGCTGGTGGTGAGGTCCATGGATAGGTAGTTTGGGGGGCAGGGGGAATTCTAGGGCAAAGAAGAGCTCAGGTCTGGGGACCAGAGGTGGAGAGAATGCTAACAACGTCACCGGGCACCGGCGCTCACGCCTGTAATCCCAGACAGTCAGGAGGCTGAGATCTGAGGATCACAGTTCAAGGCCAGGCTGGGCAGGAAAGTTCGTGAGACTCTGATCTCCAACGAACCAGCAAAAAGCCAGAGGTGGAGCTGTGGCACAAGTGGCAGAGCGCCAGTTTTGAGCAGAAAAGATAAGCAGGAGCATGAAAGTCCTGAGTTCAAATCCCGGTCCTGGCACATTTAAAATTACAATGATGGTTGCTGGTAACTCAACGCCTGTCATCCTAGCTACTCAGGAGGCCGAGATCTGAAGATCACCGTACACACACACACACACACACACACACACACACACACGCACAGAGTTAATGTGCATTTCCTTATTGCTCAGACACCTTTTTCCTGAATCAATCTTATCCACTACATCCTCTGAGTTTCGGTTTCATCTTCCCAAACAAGGCGGGGCCCTGCTTGGTTTTGTTTCTGGGCTGGTCTTGGAGCTTGCTCAAGCTCTGCCACTCTGAGCCACAGCGCCACTTCTGGTTTTCTGGTGGTTCCTTGGAGATCAGAGTCTCACAGACTTTCCTGCCCGGGCTGGCTTTGAACCCCGATCCTCAGATCTCAGCCTCCCGAGTAGCTGGGATTACAGGCATGCACCACAGCGCCCGGCTGCCACCGAACTGCATTGTCTCCAGATATGCAAATGCTCCCTGGACTGTCCTGCCCCTCCCTCTCCCCCCAACTGAGGGTGAGTCATCCTACCTCCAAGCCCGTGGCACCCCTGGGGTACAAAAGTTCAGAGGCTGCTGGCAGCAGCCTTCAGATCACTCAGCGCCCGCAGGAGAGAGAGGAGTCTGGAGAGAGCCAGGGAGAGCAACATGGCTGCGGGACCAGGTAGAGGGGGGCCCTGGGTGCCGAGAGACCCCCATTTTCTTTGGGGTTCCATTTTGGTCTTTCCTTGTGGTGTGTGCTTGCTTTAGGAGACTCACTTTTTGCTCTGCGGTCTCCAACTCCTGGCCCGAGATGACTCTCTTCCTGCTTCTTGGAGTAGCTGGGATTAAAGGTGTATGCAACCACACCTGGTCTGCTCCATCTTCTGTGTGTGTGTGTGTGTGTGTGTGTGTGTGTGTGTGTGTGCTGGCCCTCGTGGGGCTTGAACTCACAGCCTGGGCGCTGTCCCTGACCTTTTGCTCGAGGCTGGCGCTCTACCCCTTCAGCCACAGCTTGACTTCTGACTTTTTGGTCGTTCATTAATTGGAGATCAGGGTTTCCCGGATTTTCTGCTCCGGTGGGCCTCAAACTGCCATCCTCGGCTCTCAGCCTCCAGAGTGGCTGGGATTAGGGGAGTGAGCTGCTGTTGGGGGCATTTTTCTCAACACTTGAGTAATATTGGAGTGTGTTCTAACAGCCATTTCTTGGTCCACAGCTCCTGCGACTGGAGATGACACTCTAAGGTAAGATAAGTACTGGCTCAGGCCGTGGAACAGAAGCAAGAGGAAATGGATTTATTTAAACATAAATTGAGGGGGGCTGGGCAGGTGGCTCAGTGGTAGAGCGCTCGCCTTGCATGCGTGAGGCCCTGGGTTCGAGTCCTCAGCACCCCATAAGCAGAAAAAGCCAGAAGTGGCGCTGTGGCTCAAGTGGTAGAGCACCAGCCTGGAGCTGAAGAGCTGAGGGACAGCGGCCAGGCCCTGAGTTCAAGCCCCACAACCGACAAAAATAAATAGTAATACAATTCTTCTTTCCTTCTATGGCCTGTTACCATTCTTTCGTTTTGTCTTTCCAAATTAATTTTGTAAGATGATTGTGATTTTTTCTGCTCCTGTGCCCTCTGAATTAATTCTTTTCCTTCCTTCCTTCCTTTCTTTTTTTGTCAGTCCTGGGGCTTGAACTCTGGGCCTGGGCGCTGTCCCCCAGCTCTTCAGCTCAAGGCTAGCGCTCTACCACTTGAGCCACAGCGCCACTTCTGGCTTTTTCTGTGTATGTGGTGTTGAGGACTCGAACCCAGAGCCTCACGCATGCGAGCGAGCACTCTACCACTGATCCACCTGCCTAGCCCTCCCTCCCTCCTTCCCTCCTTCCCTCTCCCTCTCTCTCCCTCTCTCTCTTTTGTTCCTTTTATGCTGGTCCTGGGGCTTGAACTCTGGGCCTGCGCACTGTCCCTGAGCTTTTTCACTCAAGGGTGTGAATGACTACAGGAACCACAGCTCCACTTCTGCTTTTTGCTGGTTTATTGGAGATCAGAGTCTCAAAGACTTTCCTGCCCAGGCTGGCTTTGAATTGTGATCCTCCGATCTCAGCCTCCTAAGTAGCTGGGGTGACAGGCGGGAGCCACCAGTGCCTGGTAGCTTCCTTCCTCCCTCCCTCCCTCCCTCCCTCCCTTCCTTCCTTCCTTTTTTGCTAGTTCTGGGACATGATCTCTGGTCTGAGCTCCTTTTGCTCAAGGCTGGTGCTCTACCACTTGAGCCACAGCGCCACTTCCAGCTTCTTTGTGCTTCATTGGACATAAAGAGTCCCCTGGAGTTTCCTGTTCAGGCTGGCTTTGAACTGTGATCCTCCGATCTCAGCCTCCTGAGTGGCTGGGATGACAGGCGGGAGCCACTGGCACCTGGCACTGCTACCTGAATTGGAGGCTGGAACCCTGTGGTTCTAGAATAATCTTCAAACATCCTGACTACAAGATGCACCTCTGGCTCTGTGTGGGAGAGACACGCCGACCATTCCAACAGACCCATGCCCACAAGCCGGAGATGGAACAGAAGAACCGCCGATGCCGGGCACCGGCGCTCACGCCTGCCATCCCAGCTCCTCAGGAGGCTGAGATCTGAGGATCGCGGTTCAAAGCCAGCCCAGGCAGGAAAGTTTGTGAGACTCTGATCTCCCATGAACCACCAGAAAACCAGAAGTGGCGCTGTGGCTCAAGGGGTAGAGCGCCTGCCTGGAGCTGAAGAGCTCAGGGACAGCGCCCAGGCCCTGAGTTCAAGCCCCACGACTGACAAAAACAAACCAATGAAAGAAAGAAGAGAAAAAGCACCCGAGGTGCCATGTTTGGGGGTCAGCCGTGTGGGGAAGGGGGGCATGGATTCCAGGTGTGCGCAGCGAGGGGTGTACCTGGTGTGTTCCAGGAGGCGGATCGAGCCCTGGGAGTTCGAAGCGTTCTTCAACCCCCAGGAGCTGCGCAGGGAGGCGTGTCTGCTGTACCAGATCACCTGGAGCAGCCACAAGGTGTGGAGGGAGACCGCCAAGAACACGGTGGACAGTCACGTGGAAGTGAACTTCATCCAAAACCTGACCGCGGGGAGGTACTGCCGACCGTCCACCCGCTGCTCAATTCTCTGGTTCCTGTCCTGGAGCCCTTGTTCCTCCTGTTCGAAAGCCATCAGGCTGTTCCTCAGCCAGCACCCCGGTGTGTCTCTGGTCATCTATGTCGCCCGGCTTTTCCAGCACATGGATCCTCAAAATCGCCAAGGGCTCCGGGAACTCATTCACAGTGGGGTCACCATCCAGGTGATGAGGCCCCAAGGTAACAGCCAGGGGAGGGGAGAGGGAGGAAGGACAGAGGAGAACGGAGGGAAGCGTTAAGCTCAGAAGAGATTGCAAGCCGGGCTCTGTGGCTCACGCCTGTAATCCCCGCTCCTCAGGAGGCTGAGGTCTGAGGATCACGGTTCAAGAAAGTCTGGGAGGCTGTTGGCTCCAATGAACTACCAGAAAACCGGAGGTGGCGCTGTGGCTCAAGTGGTAGAGCGCCCGCCTTGAGCAAAAAGGAAACAAACAAAAAAAAAAGTGAAGTGAGATTTTGGATTCCTGAGTTCGAACCCCAGCAATGGTTCAAAATCACACCAACAACAACAGCAGCAAAATCAAAGTGATTCCTTTTTCTGCTCTTACCCCCGCAGCCTCTTAGCTTTTGTAGGAACTGTAAAGCATCTTGTCAAACCAACGGGACTTGTTTTGTCAGACCTGGGGCTTGAACTCGGGGCCTGGGCGCTGTCCCTGAGCTCTTTCACTCAAGGTGGGCGCTCTACCCCTTGAACCACAGCGCCACCTCTGGTTTTCTGGTGATTCATGGGAGATCAGAGACTCACTGACTTTCCTGCCCAGGCTGGCTTTGAACCGGGATCCTCAGCTCTCAGCCTCCTGAGGAGCTGGGATGATAGGCGGGAGCTACTGGTGCCTGGCTTACACAAGCTGTGTGTTTCCTTAGAGTATGATTACTGCTGGAAGAATTTTGTCAACTACCCCCCTGGGCAGGAAGAGCATTGGCCAAGATACCCCGTCCAGTGCATGACGCTCTACAATTTGGAACTCTACTGCATTATTCATGTGAGTTTTCTGGAAAGACAAAGATTCTCACTGCACAAATTCTCCTCCTTCAAACTCCTCTTCTGCTGTTCTGGTGTATAGCCATCTGTCTGTGTCCTTTTGTCTTCTATATTGTTATTAACTTACTTAAGTATTGATCCATCTGTTTTGTGCGGGTCCTGGGACTCGAACTCAGGGCCTAGATGCTGTCTGTCCCTGATCTTCTTTTGCTCAAAGCTTGGTGTTCTACCACTTGAGCCACAGCTCCACGTCTGGTTTTCTGGTAGTGCATGGGAGAGAAAGAGTCTTATGGACTTTTCCTGCCCTGGGCTGGCTTCAAACCTGGATCCTCAGATCTCAGCCTCCCGAGTAGCTGGGATGACAGGGGTGAGCCACCGGCGCCTGGCTACGCGATCTTCTTTGAGTTCTAGGTCAAATACTGACTTATGGCCATAATTACATTAATTAAAATACTTATGCTGGGCACTGGTGACTCCCGCCTGTCATCCTAGCTACTCAGGAGGCTGAGATCTGAGGATCGCGGTTCGAAGCCAGCCCAAGCAGGAAAAGTCGACGCGAGATTCTTCAATGAGCCACCAAAAAGCTGGAAGTGGTGGCGTGGCTCAAATGGTAGAGCGCCAGCTTTGAGTGGGAAAAGTTCAGGGACAGCGTGCACAGGTCCTGAGTTCAAGCCTCAGGATGGACACAAACCAAAGTACTGATCCTAAGACGAAAGGAATCCATCTTTCTGTTTTGTTCTAGAATCTTCCACCCTGTGTACGGATTTCAAAACAACGTCAAAGCCAGCTTGCCTTTTTCTCACTTGGGCTTGAGAATGTCCACTATCAGAGGATCCCGCCTCCGCTTCTTTTGCTGACGGGGTTGGTGTTTGTGTTTCCGTGGAAATGAAGAGGATATTGTCACGTGTGGACCATTTCCACAGCATGAGAGATCTTCTTTTCTTTTTGCCAGTCCTGGGGTTCGAACTCAGGGCCTGGGCACTGTCCCTGAGCTTCTTTGGCTCAAGGCTGGCGCTCTACCACTTGAGCCACAGCGCCACTTCTGGCTTTTTTGGGGTGCTTCATTGGAGATCCGAGTCTCATGGACTTTCCTGCTTGGGCTGGCTTCCAACAGTGATCCTCAGATCTCAGCCTCCTGGTTGGCTGGGATGATTGGGGTCTGGCTTTCATTGAGAGTTTTTAGACTCTGGGCTGGGCATGGTGCTACACCTCTATAATCTTGGCTCTCCAGGAGAACACTTAGTTCTGGGTCTGAGCCATCTACAGAGACTTGGGTTTTTGTCTTTTCTTGGTGCTAGTCCTGGGGCTTGAACTCAGGGCCTTGTGTGCTGTCTCTGAGCTTTTTTTGGGGGTCAAGGCTGGTGCTCTACCACTTTGAGCCACAGCTGCACTTTTGGCTTTTTGCTGGTTTATTGGAGATCAGAGTCTCAAGGACTTTCCTGCCCGGGCTGGCTTTGAACTGGGATCCTCAGCTCTCAGCCTCCTGAGTGGCTGGGATTCCAGGCGTACGCTTCTAGACATCTAGCTCTATGACTTTTTTTTCTTGGCCTTTGGGCCTGGGCGCTGTCCCTGAGCTTTTGTGCTCAAGGCTGGTGCTCTACCACTTGAGCCACACCTCTATTTCTAGCTTTTTTTTTTCCAGTGGTCCATTGGAGATAAGAGTTTCATGGAGTTTCCTGCCTGGGCTGGCTTTGAACCAGATCTGCATCTCTCAGCATCCTGAGGAGCTGAGATTACAGGCGGGAGCTACGTCTCTTGTGTCAAAACAAACCCCCCCAAAAAACAGAAAAGTTCACCGATTGTTCATTTCCTGCCATCTCTCCTAATTACCCCACAGCTTCCAGTCTGAAAATAATAAATATTTATTATGGTTTGCAGTGTGTCGGGCAGCCGGGTGCCGGTGGTCACTAGAGCTAACGGAGTAACCTGGTGCCTTGGTTGCTGGAAGCTGGGTACTTGTGCACAGTACTTGGTGTCTCTGCAGGGTGCTGACAGGCTGAGTGCTCTGTCTGTTGGAGCCAAGAGGGAAGCTTCTGATCCCCAGCTTTGGATGCTCCTGTTGGGCTTTTCTGTGTGTGTGTGTGTGTGTGTGTGTGTGTTGGTACTGAGATGTGCATTCAGGGCCTGCGCTTTTGGCTCAAGGCTGGCGTTCTACCACTTGAACCACACCTCTAGTTGCAGCTTTTCGCTGATTCAGACGTGACCACAGTTCCACAAACTTTTCCTGCATCCGGCTGGCTACAGATCACCAGCTTCTGATCTCAGCCTCCCTGAGTAGCTAGGATTACAGTGTATACATTTTCCTTTCCTTCCTTCCTTTCCTTCCCTCCCTCCCTCCTTCCTTCCCTCCCTCCTTCCTTTCTTCCCTCCTTCCCTTGCTTCCTTCCTTCCTCTCTTTTCTCTTTCCCAGTCCTGGGACTTGAACTCAGGGCCTGGGCGCTGTCCCTCAGCTCTTCAGCTCAAGGCTGGCGCTCTACCACTTGAGCCAGCGCCCCTTCCGGCTTTTTCTGTGTATGTGGTACTGAAGAATCGAAGCCAGGGCTTCCTGCACTCTACCACGGAGCCCCCTTCCCAGCCACATTTTTCTTTCTTTGTGCCAGTACCCAGGCTTGAACCCACGGCCCAGGTGTTTTCCCTGAGCTGATAAGGGGGGACCCTTGAGGTTTTAGCAGGTGCAAGAGGCTCTGAGTCCTTCTGGGCCGGCAGCCTCCTCTCCACCACTATCTACTACTTGTAGATATAGCATACAGCTCAGTCCGCCATGATGAAGCCTGCCTGTCATCCCAGCGACTCAGGAGGCTGAGAGCTGAGGATCGTGGTTCGAGGCCAGCCTGGGCAGGAAAGTCCGTGGGGCTCTGATCTCCAAGGACCCAGCAAAATGCTGCACGGGAAGCTGTGGCTCACGTGGTAAGAGCGCTAGCTTTGAGCCTACAAGCACCTAGGCCCTGAGTTCAAGCCCCAGGACCAACACACACACACACACACACACACACACACACACGCACACACGCACACACACACCAAGCTAACTTCAGCGTCATGGATCTTTAGCAGGCTTTTGCCAACTCCTACAATTCACCAACTTCAATGTCTTTTGTTTCCTCTCCGCTTGGTTTAATTTTTTGTTTTGGGGTCAGTTTTGAACTCAGGGCCTGAGCATTTTTTGCTCAAGGCTGGTGCTCTACCCCTTGAGCCACAGCACCACTTGTGTTTTTTTGGTGGTTTATTGGAGATCAGAGTCTCACGGCCTTTCCTGCCCAGGCAGGCTTTGAACCTTGATCCTCAGATCTCAGCCTCCTGAGTAGCTGGGATTACAGGCGTGTGCTACCAGCCTCGGGCTCAGTTATGGGCTTCTCTAGAACCAACCAACCTCTCCTTGGGGAGTCTTGAGAGTCCTGCGTCCATTTTCTGCTCCTTTATTAAGGTCGCCTGGAGGTGACTGTGCAAGCACCTCCATCCTTTGTACAAATGTACAAACACGCTGCACACGAAGAAAACACACCGCTCAGTGCGGGCCCAGGGGCAGGATGGGACGGAGGCCAGGAGCTCCAGGAGACGGTGATGTGGCACTCACCAGCCCACCAGGCTTCTGCCCTGCTGGGTGTATGTGTGTGTGTGCACGTGCGTGTGCGCACACGCACCAGTACTGGGGCTTGCACACGCAGGGCCTGGGCACTGGCCCTCAGCTTTTTCTGCTCTTCGTGTGTGATTCACTGGAGGTAAGAGTCTCCCGGATGTCCCTGCCCGGGCTGGCCTTGAACTGGGATCCTCCCAGCTCAGCCTCCTGGGTAGCTGGGATGACAGGCGTGCGCTATGGGTGTCCAACTCCTTCTCTGTTTCTCTGCAGGTGTTGCGGGTCTTTGCGAGTCACATACATGTGTATGTACATGGATCAGCTATGTATGTAACATACACACACAGATGTGTCTATTGTGTGTTTTCCTCCGCGCGGGAAGAACGCCGCGTGCAGCCGGCGTGCGGGGGGGTGGCTGCGTCCGCTCTCGGAGGGGACAGGCCGCGGTGTCCCCGCCGCTCCTGTCAGAGCCCCAAAGTGCGGAAGGCGTCACGCAAGTCGTCCACCTCGTACAGAGGCTGTGGGGGGAGAGGGACAGGATGAAATCCTGCACGCACACGCGGGACACAGACAGCCCGGGGGTGGGGGAGAGACAGACGGAGGCTGACGGAGACAGACGGAGGAAGAAGCCCTGGGGAGAGACCATTGCCAATCGAGCAGCAAAAAGCCAGACTGGAGGCGTGGTTCAAAGGGTGGAGCGCCCGCTGTGGTGGAAGCAAAGGCAGGAAGGCCCGGGGGAGGGAGAGGAGCCTGACCGGAGGAGAATCACCCGTCCAGTAGGAAAAGGACAATCATCTGCCACATGCGGCGGTATCAGCTAAACAAATGCCAGGTAGTATATGGGAACATGTGACATTACACAGTGCGCATGTGGTTCACATGTCACAAACATGCTGCCGCGTACAATGTGTAATGTAAATTATACCACTTATATAATATGAATTACATGTTATGTATAACATAATCTAAATTATATGCAGAGTATAAAATACATTATATGTATATTAGCCAATGTGTCATCTGTAAACTAGTAATTATAGTCTAGAAAATAACATAGACCACAGCATAAACTATATGTATAATATGTATTATAAGTATAATACGTATGTATTATATGTATAATATGTATGACGTGTATAATATATACATTATATGTATAATATGTATGATGTGTATAATACATATATATTATATGTATAATACGTATATATGTATAATATGTATGATATGTATAATACATATATATGTATAATATGTATTATAAGTATATGTATATATTATATGTATAATAGGTATGATATGTATATGTATATAAACTATATATAATCTATAAAATAAGTTATATGCATAATAGAGTCTATGTGACATGTGAATGTAAATCATATAATAGAAACTACTATAAAGTAGTGTCAACGATATGTATAATAGGGAAGATGCACGGACCCCCTCCCCCTTCTCCCCTCCCCCTCCCCCCTCCCCTGGGACGCGCGCCCCGCCCCGGCGCGCATGCGCGCGCGGCCCTACCAGGAGGATGCGCCGCAGCTGTCGGGAGAGCCGCACCGAGTTCTCGCGCAGCCCGTCCCAGGGCCGGAAGGCGCGCGCGTGGTTCTCCACGAAGGTGTTCCAGCAGTAGAAGTAATCTGCGCGCGCGACAGACACTCAGGG